TCCTTAAGAGATAAGCATGTTTTTCTTTGAAATGTTTAATAAATCCCCAGAAAAAATTTCTCAGAGATTTTTATATGCTGTGAATCATTTCATTTTTGTCTGGCTTTGATCTCTTCTTAAGAGGTAAAGAGTAAGGTGCAGGTGTTTTGGTTAAGTCAAATCAACTAGTAGTCATCACCCTGTATTGGAAAGAATATTGACAATATGCTTGAGATGAGAGGTGAGTTACCTCTTTTTCCTAAACAGTAACCTGGATAGAATATTCGTATAAAGCAAAAAAATCCTCTTTAATTTTTTCTTAATTATACATCTGCTTTACAAATGGTACAAACCACTGAGATTTTTAAAAGATAATACTCAGTTATTAATTTCATGACTCAAGAACCCAAGGCGATCGTAATCTGTTAAAATAATTAATTGGGAGGCCATTAGACCAAGAGGCTCCAGTGCCTTGGGTTCCTCCATAAGTAAACCAAAGCTCAACTCAATGTAAACTTAACCTTAATCAATCAGAAACCACCAACTAACTTCTAACTAGAGACTTTACCAGTCACTGCTAATTAACCTCTAACTAGGGGCTTTCCACTTTAACCAATCAAAATTTTTTGTTACATTTCTAGGAACACCTTATGAAAGTTTCCCCTTCTGCTCCCTTGGTGGAGTGCTAAACCACTTGCATTCTGGTGGTGCCAAATTCATGAATAGTTGAATGTTCACATAAACTCATTAAAATTTTAGTATGCCTAAGTTTATCTTTTACCACACTTTGCTCTCTTAGCTTGCACTTCTGAAGTGATCTTTATTTGCCACTAGCAAGTATGTGTTGTAGCAGGTAGACTGTTTTGATGGAGACAATTTCTAATTCTACTTTCCAAGGGAAAAATTCTACCATCATTCAGTTTTTTAAACACATCTCATCAACCATGAAAATAAATAACAAGGATTTTATTTACGAAGAAAAAAATTGCATAAAACATAGTTCTTAACTTCTACTTCATTCATTCCTTTAGACAAATGACTCACCGTAAGTTTAAATTAGAGATCACATTGACACATTTCAGATTTGCTCTAGAAACAAGTGATTGGAAGAGACAACTGGATTGAGGAGACTGACAAGATGTGGAAATGGAACTTTGTCCTGTTTTGGCTTCTCTGGAGGCCACAGTACCTAGTACTCCACATTACAAAAGCAAGGTGCTAGACTCAATACCTGAAAAAGGGGTGACTGAAACTAGATCTTTCCACCCTGAGGAGACAAAGGGGTTGAAGGTGAAAAGGGAGAGACTTTGGAGAGAGCTCTCCCTGCGCTGAACATCTCCACCCTCCACCCCCTCCTGCCATGGGGGAGAAAGTGGCTACTTCTGCCTTCCCTTACACCAAGTGAGAAATGAGGTTTCAAGAAAACCACCAGGTGAGCTCACCTTCTGTCTCCCAAAGTAGGTAGCATAAGGCCTGGTATGAGAAGTGTGGATATACAGAAGGTGACAAAAAAAGACGTGTGCTTCTTACATGGGCTACTTAGGAAGGAGCTACTCTTCCCCACCTGAAATCTTCCCAACAAGACTGTATGAAATGGTCATGCAATTCTCAGGTGGATGGAAGCCACCAGATGCACCAGGTTTGTGGGAATAACTTTAAACTGGGTGGGAAAAGAGTCATTTCCAGGTCTTGGAACGCTAGGAGGGCTAAGCTCCCTCAGTAGAGAAGGAATACAATAGGCCACACCAGCAGGCCAGCTCCATGGTGCAATCTGGGATTACATGTGCCCACCCACAGCTGCAAACTTGAGGAAGCCTCAGGCTAATTAGGGGGAAAAGGAGAAAGAGAAGAACATTACTGGGGAGAGAGTAGAGAAACCCAGATAGTACTCCTTCCAGATCCAGCTGGGACTCTGCCTCCACCCTCACCCTGAGGCTTTGTAGCATAAAATCAGGCTGAAGGCTGAGGGGAAGTTTTAAACCAGGAAAGAGTTAACTCTATTATCCATTCATATTGATGGACACTTGGGTTGTTTCTACATCTTTGCGATTGTGAATTGTGCTGCTATAAACATTCAAGTGCAAGTGTCTTTTTTATAAAATGTCTCTTCCTTTTTTCCTTTAGGTAAACATCCAGTAGTGGGATTGCTGGATCAAATGGTAGTTCTACTTCTAGCTCTTTGAGGTATCCCCATACTGTTTTCCATAGAGGTTGTACTAGTTTGCAGTCCCATCAACAGTGTATAAGTGTTCCTTTCTCTCTGCATTCACACCAGCATCTGTTGTTTCGGGACTTTTTGATAGATTAATAAAATGTATATGTATACCGTGGAGTACTACTTAGCCATTAAAGACAATGGTGATCTAGTATCTTTTGTAACAACCTAGATGGAACTGGAGACCATTCTTCTAAGTAAAGTATCACAAGAATGGGAAAACAAACACCACATGTACCCAATACTAAACTGGAACTGATCGATCAACATTTATGTGCACCTATGGAAGTAAAACTCAATGGAAATCAAGCAGGTGGGAGGGGGAAGGAGGGAAAGGGTAAGTTCACACCTAACGGGTACAATGCACACTATCTAGGTGAAGGGCACACTTATAACTTTGACTCAAACTGTGTAAAAGCAAATTATGTAACCAAAACATGTGTGCCCCATAATATTCTGAAATAAAAAAAAATTTAAATAAAATACAAAAGAAAAGAATTAACTCTACTATTACTGAAATGAGACTATTCTTATGACAAAGCGACTGAAGGAATTTTATTTATCAGAGAGTGGCCACTGCACAAGAGCCGCTCCAGGAGTGGTAAAGAGACAGTCCACAGAGCAAGTCCAGAGGGACAGGGGTGAGAAGGAGTCAGGTTATGTTAATTTGCAGACTATTAAATTCAGCTCATTCAGCAAACCACATATGGTAGTTTCACAGTTTCCCTCATGGCTGGTTGTACTTTAGTCCCGTCTGGCCATTACAATTCTGGTTTCAAAGCAATGGATCTTTGGGCTTTCACTGTGGCTCATGTCCAGCGCCGGCCTGATGCCCCACGGTGCCAATCTCAGGGAGGGCGACAGTGCGGGAGGCCGTTAGATGAACACCAGAATGCCATTTCAAAGAAAATGAACTTGATTTTTTCTTCAACTCAGAAATGATTTTCTTCATGTGCTATTTAAGGTTTTAATAAAAAGTTAAAGTATTCTAAAGGGTTAAGATCTTCTGCAACCCTAGGTGACCAAGAGTTGTTCTGGCAACACTTATGTGACAGAGTTGCAAGCCCAAGGCCGAAGTACCCACTTTTCCTTCTAAACCTGAAACACATAGAAAGTACTTTCCAGAACTTGCTTGACCTCAGGCCATCAGCTCTGGGGCATATCTGCCTCGCCTGCTGCCTTGATTTCCTGCTTCTCATGATGTGTGCAGGACGGTCTTACTTTCAGATGGACCTTGTGCCAAGGACAGACAAAGCTTTCTCTTTTCTCACCAATTATCCCCTGGTCTTACTCTAGGAATCTGGACCATATAATGTCCTCTAACTCAAACAATTTTTCTTCTTCCCTTTACTAAAATTGGCATTTCAATCTTACAGATCATTATCTTTATTTCAACAGTTTTGGATCTCCCCCTTGTATAATTCTCTATAGTTACCAAAAACTTGAATCAAAAAGCAATATGCTATGCTGTAATCTAAAAGGCATTCCAAAATAAGCATGAAGCTAATGATGAGCTTTTATCCACAGTATCAATATTTATCAGTAAATATGACACTAAGACAAGCTTCTTGAAAATATATTTCACTAAATGCAATGTGGTAACTTGGACTGGATCCTGGAATAAAAAAGAGACCTTAATGGAAAAACTGGTAAAATCAGAATAAAGCCTGTAATTTAGTTAATAGGATGTGGCAATGTTAATGTCTTATTTTTGATAAATGTACCATGGTTATATAAAATGTCTACATCAGGGAAAGCTGAGTGAATCACATGTACAAATTCTTGGTACTATCTTTGAAACTTTCTGAGTATATAAAAGTGTTCCAAAATAAAATACATATTTATTAAAACATATACCTCGAAAATGATTGTTATATAAAAAATTCGTACCAACAAGAGAAACTAAAATGAACAGATCACAAGAAGTCATACAATTTTCTCCGATATCCTTTGAAGATTGATTTAGAAATCTGCGTTCTATAACAACACTTAATAAAGAATTTTGCACAAACTAAGAGCTCAGTGGATGCTTCTAGCTTTAGATAAATTCAGGAATCTAACTTATTTTAGGAACCAAGAAATGCCCACTCTTGCCTAAAAAACCATTTAAGTTTTATTTGGAATAAAGAAACCATGTTATTAACCATTTCTACAAAATTCACTGGCTTGCTAATATCATCAGTCAGTCTTATTTTTCAATCAGGACAGTACACATGAATGTTGTTGTGCTGAATGTCACTCTAGCATGGAGGAGAATACTAAGACAATCATGGAAGCCAGAGGGGATGAGGAAATGGGAATATGAATGGACCAAAACTGACTTAATCTTTTGCTTTTATTTGACTTTAAAGAAAAGTTATTAGATTCATCAAGTGTGACTTTTTCAACTTGAAATGCTGACATGAAAATCCTCTTCCTCACCCAGGGATAAAATGATACAAAAAGCAAGCTCCTTCCCAGGCCCTGACTGCAGAGGAGAGAGTGAGTCTGGACGCAATGCTCCTACCTCCGCAGCACTGGACGTCTGGTCAGCCTCACTTGGCCGGGAGTCATTCATTCACATCTGAAACTACGCTAGGCTCTGGGGATATAATCCGCCGTTGTTTTATTTATTTAGCCTTTCTTCTGCCCACAAGATTATGTTTGGTCTAACAAAGCCAACGGTAAGTTTCTCCCTCCTGTTTTATCCTTACATAGTGACTGATTCAGGGTGACATTGGCCATTGAGACAGAAGACAGAAAGGAAAGGTGACTGACTGGCCTATTAGGAAACAGTCAAGTTTTTCTGGTTGAAAATAAACCGGAATTTTATAAAATCTTTAAAAAATATGAGGTCAAGACTAGAAGTTTATCCTAAAGAGAATATAAAACAAATGAATATTTAACAAAAGAAATATTCTCCATGTCATTTGGAATTTTACCTATAATACACACACACACCCACCCACCCCAATAATGAGGTTTTTAAACACTATTCTCTTTCTTATTAAGTTTCTATGAAACTTCTTCCTCACTTTTACTGAAATACTATAAAGAGTGGTTTAATGTTCTGTTCTCTCTCCTGCCCTTGCTTTCTCTCTCCCTGCCTTCCTGAATATTTAATATATTATGCACACCATGCCCTGGACATACAACAGAGCCAACATCATGGTTTGTGCCTCTGAGGAGTTAATGATATTTAATCTGCCACATGGCAAAGTAGTTTCATTCCATATACATTTAAATCTCAATATAATATTTTAATTGTGGTCACTGGTGAAGAAACAATGAAATCAGTCAACAGGAGGTGTGAAAAATGCTTTAGGCATTTTGCATTTTTCTATAGAATTCAATGCTAACCAGTGGACTCTTTTTTACTTTTCTTTCTTCAAATAGCAGAAAAGTTGAAATGTTTACCTGAATATACTCGGTGAGAGTGTTAAAGACTTGTTTTGCTACTTGGATAGCTTTCGAGAAATTCCGTTGTCCTTGTTCATCAATAACATCTTTCCCAGAGTAATACCAATAGAAGTCACTAATTGATTCCTGGAAAATA